GCAGTATTGTAACTATCTTTTCCTCAACCCCGCAACATCAGCCTATTTGTGTCTTCAGCCTGACTAACCAGTAAGCTTAACTTTCAGCTGAGAAACAGTGACAGATGGTCTGTAAACACCTATCTTCTTGGAAGTCTGCCGCAATTTCACAGCTATTAGGAAGGAAGTTTACAAATCAGGAGTTAGTCGGAGGGAAGAGGAAGAGACAGGATGGACAGAACCTTGGAAAATAGTATCAGAATTCAAAGTGACCTGAGTAAATTGGGGAAACAGCCAGAAGCAAACAGCATAGGCTTCAGCACAGACAAGTGAAACGCAGTGCAGCTATAGGAAAGGACAAAAGTAACTTGGCACACTAAAGACCCAAGAAGACAGGTTCTATACAAGTTTTCACTTCAGAGTTCTAGACATTGGCAAAAAGCTCGTGTTTCTGACACAGTAAGGGCCACCTTTCAAAGGTGGTACCATTGATGTGACTAACTGTGAGTGGGGACTGTAGGAACCATGTGATAATGCCTTGTTGCTCTTGTTTGGAATGGCAACAGGAAAAATGAGCTCTTGCAAGCTTTGAATGTCCATGGAAAAAGGATCGCCTTCTTACACTAGGGGAATCAAATGATAGATAACTGATTAGTTACTCAGACATATCCCTTCTTCTTTCAAACTAGCAAATCCATAAACCTGATGTATAACTGATTCACTTTCTATCAGGAAAAAGGCCCTTAATACCAATGATAAACAAGTGTATTTTGTTGGAAAGTTTTAGACTGTTTTTATAAGCGTTTGTGTGGTTGTAAATTTAAAGGCAGGTGGATCTCTGCATGTCACACATTTGGCTGTAAGATCACTATCTGATCTGGACTGTGCCCCGATTTGAGGAAGCCACCTACCAAAGCCATGTGGCTGGGACTGAACGTTGTTCCGTTTAATCAAGATTGTGTCACAGCGTGGCTGTGTACCAATCGCATTTCTGTGATGGTTGCTGGCCTTTCCAGATTAGCAGGAATTGATTAAAAAACTCAGTCTTCCTACGTTAGTAGATTGATTAATAAAGGTGTCTTCAAGTACAATCGAAAACTAGAAAATACTTTAAAAAACCAAAAGAGAACTTTATGGTAGGAAAGATAGAACCAGATGGATTTTCTATCACAATTTTGATAGCTGCATTAGAATTCAATTACAGAACTCCATTTTTGTATGATTAAATTTTATGTCCTTATATTTTTAATTTTTTTAATAAACAATGATAAAGAGAACACAGAATATTGATTCCCCTGCTTTTTGCTTGTGATTGGTTCTTCCCAACTCCCCTATTTCCTTATCCTAAAGCACTAAAGAGTGTATTCTTTTACTGGTATAGAAAAGAATACATATAGAGACAGATATGACAAAAGAATATTTTCTTTTGTAATCTATATGAAGCAAGGAGGGGAGTAGCAGACAGTCTTTGTAGCTTATTTGTTTTTTATTTAGTTCAAATTAAGTCATATGTAGTCATGAAAGAAAATGTAGAGAAATACAGATATAAGCCCCAGCCACAAAGGTCTAACCCTTATTTGATCTGTGAAGGAATGTAATAATTTTGAGCAATTTTATATCTCTAAGGTTTTTACCCTAGTTCATTTTAAGTGGTTTGCACCTTTCATTTTCTATTGAAATTCTTAGAATAATTTTAGAGAGTAATTATTTGTTTTGGAAGACTCACTTTCCTTTTTACTTGAAAGAAGCTATAATAATAAATATTTAGGAAGCAGGTACAATTTACAGGTAATTTGCTTTTTAAAAAGGTTGTGCAGACCCAGTGTAGTCTCTAACAATTTTAAATTTGTGTAACATCAACGATACACATGCTTAAGATTTACAGTATTCCATTTCTTACCTGAAAGGCACTGTAGCCAACTCTTGGTAGTTTTTCTGCTAGTATTCTATGTATTTATCGGTGGAAAGTAATAGCCTGAATGACTCACTGTATGATAAATTAAAGATCTGCCATCTCAACTGTGTTAAAACCATTTGAATGTATATGTTGTACAACTTCAGCAAATTCTCATTTAATAAGTGAAAAATTCTGTGCTAATTCTTTGCAGGTTATATAGAATACAGGCACATGGCTTATTTCCTAAAGGAATCAATGCGGCTCTAGAGATCTGAGAAGCTATATTGTCCTGTAAATCTAGAGGTTACAGTATGTGTTATTTGGGCCACGTGGCTGGCCCAGTAGAGCACGCAGCTCTTGATCTCGGGGTCATCATTTCAAGCACCGTGTTGGGCATAGAATCTATTTAAAAAAAAAATTAAAAATGAGATAAAGTATGCATTATTTGACTGATAATTTACTGTATCACAAAGAGCTTTGATTTTTGAAAAAAATAAAAATAAAAAACTATCATAGCCAAGCTTTTTCTCCTTTTTTTTTTTACATTTTTTTAAAGGTTTTGTTTATTTATTTGACACAGTGAGAGAGAGAGAAAGAGATCACAAGTAGGCAGAGAGGCAGGCAGAGAGAGAGGAGGAAGCAGGCTCCCCGCTGAGCAGAGAGCCTGATGCAGGACTCGATCCCAGGACTCTGGGATTGTGACCTGAGCCAAAGGCAGAAACAGCCACCCAGGCGCCCTTTACATTTTCTACAAGTTACTAAACGTTTTTGTTTCATTCATTCAATATAGATTACTTATTATTTTGAGATAATCCTGGATCCGTTTGCTGTTATATGAAATAATGAAACGATTGTGTACCTTGTACCCGGTGTTCCTCAATACTATCTTTGTAAAACTGTACTACGAAATCATGGCGAAGATATTGACCAATATCTAGCAATCTTGTTCAGATGTCTTCAATATTACTTATACTTAGTTGTATTTGTGTGTGCGTGTGTGTGTGTTTAGTTCAATGCAATTCTATCACAAGAGTAGGTGGTGGTTACAGCACCGTAGTCCAGACACAGAGTAGCTCCATAACCACAAGGAAGCCTCATGTTGCCTGTTTATAACCATATGACCACATCCGCTTCCCTCCCCCTTGCATCTTTAACTCTATCAACCACTAATCTCTTCCCCGTTTCTATAATTTTGTCATTTCAAGAATGGTATCTATATTAAAAATACTTAATATTTAATAAAATTTATATATATTAATAAATTATAAATATGTATTATAAATAAATAATCTCCATATATATGGAATCATTTAGTACATAACCTTTTGGATTGTCTTTTTTACTCTCTCTCATTATCCAGCAATTCATCCAGTTTGTTATGTGTATCAGTACCCGTTCCTTTTTATTGCTGAGTAGTATTCCATTGTAAGGACGTGCCACAGATTGTTAAACCATTCACCAGCTGAAATTATGGGCTGTTTCCTGTTACAGACTATTATAAATAGAGCTGCGTGAACATCCACGAATAGGTTTTTATGGAGACATAAGTTTCCATTTCATCTGGGATGAGTGTCCAAGAGTACAATCACCGGGTGGTACCATAACTGCATGGTTAGTTCTATAAGTAACTGCCTAACTATTTTCCAGAGTAGCTGTACTCTCTTACATTCCCCCAGCGAAGTGTGAATGATCACTTTCTTTTCACCCTCGCCAGCATTTAATTTTGTCACCACTGAAATTTCCAGTGTCTAGTGATATCATGTTGCTATTTTAAACTGTATTTCCCCTATAGATAATAGCATTTCTTTTCATGGGCTTGTTTGTCACCTGTATATCCTCTGCTATGAAATGTCTGTTTATGTCTTTGGCCCGTTCTCTAATTGGATTGGGTTTTTTTGTTTGTTTGTTTGTTTGTTTTCTGTTTTGGGGTTTTTTATTGTTGTTGTTTTACTGTTGACGTTTGAGAGTTCTTTCAATATTCCAGATACTAATCTTTTGTTGAATTGCAAATATGTGTGCATTTGTTAGCAAATATTTTCTCCTGGTCTGTAGATCATATTTTCATTCTCTAATGTATATATTAAAGTAACCATTTATTTGTGTTCAACCCGACTATCCCCATACAATTTACATTTTCCTGTCCTCAGTCACATTTTCTTTATCAATTAACATAAAAATGCATTCTGCCTTCATTTTATACATGACCTAATTATATTTAATAAAACTGTTACTGTGATCTTTTGGGTTTTTTTGGTTAAGCAGTTTTGGAAAGTGGGAGGTTACAACTCATACTGATGATATGTTTGGAACTAAGTACCTCTATTCACAAAGAGATGAAATAATTTTACTCTGCGACTTTGCTGTGCCAAAGTTCAAACAACCAGTTGGAAAATGGAAAATGGAATTATATATGTGCTGGATATTACAGAGTGCATATTTTTTAAAAATATTTTAAAATAACATCCATATGATTATTTTATCAGATTTGTAAATTCACCTAATTAGTATGCTTACTACGGTGTACTAATAAGAGTGATTATGTATTATTTTATTTCATCTTAAGGAAATCCTTTCCATAGAATTTTAAGAAATGTCAAATTCTTCTGTTGTGTCAACAACTGCTCTCCAAATAAGTGTTTTATCGTAAATGTTGCCTTTTATTCTTTTTTTAATTTTCATTGAGAACAACCCAGTGGTTTCTGTGAATGAGGGAATGTTTTGTTTATTTTGGCTTTTCTTTCTGTGCTTTAATTTTTTTTCCAGCTTTTGTTTTGTTTTGTTTTGTTTGTATGGAAGACTGTATTTTGCTTTTTTTAATTTTAATTTTTCTTTTTAATTTTTAGCAAGCATGGGAATAAATTCTTGCTTACACTTTGGGAAAGAGAACACCCTAAATGTGGCTTAATCAACATTGTAAACCATTTTCTTTCCCACTGACTCTCGGATATGTGCATTATTGGAAACGTGTGCTTTAGTGGCATATATTTTTGAGTCTAATTAGCTGCCTGCCTGTAATCAGGACTGTATCAACTGTTGTCATTCTAAATGTTTCCTTTCTTTTTTTCAAACACATTTGCCTGATTGACCTTTTTTTTTTCTCTGTCTTTCTATGGGGCTGCTCCAGGAGCCATGGCTAATCATCTTATAAGCAATGCTCTGCTTCGTCCGCATGGTACTAACAATCCCTATAATACATTGCTTGGGGAACCGGCGGTCTGTAACAACCCTTCTGTCAGCATGTACAACGCACAAGGTGTGCTGGAGTTTATCTTAATTTTTTCAAGTGAGAGTCCCATTTTATGTAGCTTTTATGGCCACATTCTATTTTTCTTTCCTTCCACCTGCCTTTCCTTCTTTTGGAAGCAGACACACAGACTCCTTCCACCCCTCTTGGTGCTTTTATTTTCCATTTTCCTTAGGTTTTCCTTAGTAACAGCTGGATCCCTTCCTTCTGATAAACAAATGCTTGACTCATCAATCTGTGTTTGTAACGTTTTAAAATGTATTGTGATGTGTCAGTGCTTTTCTTGTTGTTGATTAATTTCTATATTAAATACCTATGTATTTATTTTGAGAAATGAGACATTTGCTTAAGGTAAGTAAGATAAAGGAGGACTTGATTCAAGAGTCTCAGTGTTATAAGACCAAGAAAATGAGCTTACGTTATTAAGCCATGACGCACACTCTAGGCGCGAGGCATCAGTATTGGTGAAAGCACTTAGGCCAACTCCATGGAAAATTACATGGAACTAAGCCGTGGAGAAACGAGCCATTCAGTTTGCTACTGAACTGAACAATAGCAAGTCAGGTTCCACACTAGCTTGCCATTACCAAGGTGAGCTGGCTCAGGAAGGTCATGATTTTTTTTCCCCCCCTACTGTGGCTATGTGTGAAAAACAAGGCTTTGGGATATGGTTCTTCTGAATATCCTCCAGCTTTAAAGGATAAAAAAGTTTAATCTCATGTCAAATAAATAACCATAAATCTCTTTAAAACCACTTCTATTATAAGTGTTTGGACATGACTCTACCTTTTCTAAGAATAAAAAAATGTATTGAAGCGCAAGAAATTAAAAATATCCATATCCTATGGAAGAGACCACAGGAAAGAACTATTCAAATAAAAGTTTCCTAAAGGAAAAGCCCTAGTTAGGGATCCAATTATGTAATATTATATTTGAAAGAAAATTCACTGTAACAAAGAGGCTTAAGTGGTTCTTTGAAGTTGGATGTGTTAGATTAGCCATATTTAGCTTTCCCAGGCAATTTTGAATAAAATTCCTGTTATTCTCAGTGGGCATCTTTGTGCTTTCTTTTCTTTCTCAGTCAGAGGTGAAATATGAGTGTCGCGAGTGAGTAAAACTCAGTGTGGATGGCTGTTCCATACAAGTGTGTGTGTTACAGCACTGCCATTGGGTGTCTAAAACCTTCTGAGTTTCCTACGTGACACCTTGTCAGATACGTAGGATGATGTTAAATTATCTTAAAAATACTGAAGTCAGTAACACAGAAGTGACTTCAGGAATATGGTCAAGCTGTTTCTCACTAAGATGAAGTAATTAAGGGAACTTTTGATTTATCAAGTTCCATAAGGCCTGCCTGTCTTAGAATCAAAAGAAGGAACAGAGCTCATGGACCCTGACGTTCTGTCAGCCCGTGTGCCTCTCTGATGGGACCCTTCTGACCTCAGGATTTCAGACTTGCAATGGTTGAAATGCTGCATTTGTTACATATATTTTTTCCTTCCAGTGAGCTGAAATTTGCCTCTGGGCAGGACGCTTTGATTTGCCCTCTAGAGCAAAGAAGAGCAAAGTATTCTTCTGCTCTCAGTGTCAGTCCTTTTAAATACTTTGAAAGCAGCTCATCTGGCTTCTTCCGGTCCTCCATTTCCCTAGTGCCATCAGTATGAGATAGCTTCTGGGTCCTCCTTCATGGTTCCCCTTCGGAGTCGTCTCTCCTTTGTCGATGTCCCTGTTTCACTGTGGCACTCAATGAACTGTACATTTCACAACACAATAAATGTGGCTGGACAGAACAATTTTGCAGACCTTTGAACGCTTGTGTTTTTTTTTTAAATTAGGCTAAGTGACAGATAATTGTGTCATTATAAACATTTTACAATGTACTGACATATCAGTAAGTTTTCAGTAATGTTAGGTGAAGATTTGCATTGTATCTGCAAATTAAATCTATTCTACATTCACTTTATGCAAAGAGTTGTTAAAAAACCATAAAAATTGTTTAATTTATTTAATATTGTTATAAAACAAATAAAAATTTAAATAACCTTTTCTTCAGCTTTTTTATCAGATATAATTTCTAATGCCTTGTGTAATGAACAACTAATAATTATTAATCTATGTTTTCCCTAATTCAATATCTGCCTTCGTATTTTATTTTTACCGGTATCATAAATTAGGGGATTTTTCTAAGGATGGAACACTACTATAAACACTATGAAAGTGAAGTTTTCTCAACACAACATTTAAAATAATACCATATAGGTATAAAGTTTTATTCCTGTGAAATTTATTACTGAATACTGCTCTTAAGATTATCAATAAATACACAAAGGATTCTTCTGAATGGATTTATTGTGTTTGTCAGTAAATTAAGTCTACTGACTTTTCTTAAAAATGAGAGTAAATAATTTTATTCATGTTTATCAGAGTCAGAAGTGAGATTGTTTAACTGTTTTATGTGTAAAAATTTGTTAAGATGTTAAACTATAGTAGTGCTTAATGTAATTCTTTTTACCACTGACCAAAAATATATCTTAGTGTTTGTCATGTTGCTACTAATCTTATGCTTTCAGATGAATGCACTTAATATTCTTACTGGCAAGGGGAAATCTTACATGAAATATAGGTGGCTCGGTATGTACTGCAGTGGTTTATGTTGAATTACCGCTTGGTTCTGTTCTGTGGGTTCTCTTAATTCAGTTGCACCCGTGCTATCCAAGCAAAGAAGCATTCAGATTTAAAGTATCCATATTTGTTTGTAATATCTTTACTTAAAATATGTAGAGATGTGTTTATAGAGTTACTGAAGCGTATAGAGTTAGGAATAAAGATGACTAATCTACTTTTATTATATTGGATTCAGAGTCTGTCTGTGGAAATATTTAAAACTTCATGCATAGTATTTCTGGACCATTATCATCTTGTCAGTGCTAGAGAATTCAATTTTTGTAAGATAAATCTTGCTATAGATTAACCTGTCAACAAGACATAAAATAGAGAGGAAGTCATGATTTTACAAAATAATTTACATTTTAAAGTAATTTAATTCTATCCTCCAACTTAAAGAAAGACATACCCTTAGGACAGGATATAATGAAGGATATGTTATAGTCGGTAAGATTACAAGATTATATTATAAAATATATAAATAAATATTCTGTTATGGCTTCAAAGCCTAAGGCGGATATGAAGAGGACATAGGTGGCGGTGCACAGAGGAAATCTTGGAGATTTCCTTTCCGATCTCAGTTCTGCCACCATTAGCAGGTTGGGGTTAGATGGGGCTCAGCCTGTCTTGGCTGTAGTTTCTTCATCCCTGAAAAGCAGGGGCTGAACTTCAGTCATCTCTCGTGGGCTTTCCAGTTCTAAAATTCTGTCATTTAGGGAAGGAGCCATGATGAGCTTACAAACGATTTCCATCTGTTAATATACTGGTTTGGCTCTTCAAATTATTTTTCTAAAGTGTTTTGGAAACTTTAAAAGAACTTTCCTCTCCATTTTGAAATATTGTTGGTCTTTTCTGAGAAACGAATCAACTTCTAAGTCCAAAAACCGTATCTCTAAAGCAATGGTTAATGTATAATCAGCTGGGATCTCCTGAAATGAGCTAGCCCAATGAGCTTCCTGGTTTTTATGTTTGTGATGATTTAACCTTCCTGTAAACAAATTCAGCAAGAGCTGTCCTTTAGGACCTGATTAAAATATGAGTGTGTTTTTTTTTTTTCAAAATAATTTTGCTAGGATTGTTTTTTAAAGGATTAACTCTAAAATTGTTTGATTGCAAATGATTATGCAACAATCCTGAAGAAAATCTGGTATTGATGGTGGTATTTTTCTTCCCCTCACGTTGTCTTGATACCGAATAATGGTTGGATTTAACCTTTTTCTTTCTCCATAGTTACACAACTTTTGAATAAGAGTTCCAGAAATGACAGTTCTGATCAGTATTATTCACAAATGATAAGAAGCATTTGTATAGGTACAGTGGGGGAAAGATACCTTTTTACATGAAGAGAAAAGATACATAAAGGAAAAACACACAATTATGGAAACCTACAACTGTGGTTTTTTTTCTCTGTATACAAGCTAAAGATTTGATATAATTTCACTGAAAAATTTTAAAGTTAAATAACATTCCTTAGAAGCAGGTATGTTCAGATAAACATACACATAATATACGGATTATTGAAATATAGTTGTGGGAATTGTCATGGCTTGCACTCAAATCTTTACTCTCCTCGGTTGGTGTAATAATCTTAACTTTAAAATAAATGTGTTTTTGTTTGACATTTATAAACTGTACGAACGCTTATTAAAGTCTCATTTTATTAGCATGTGTTAAGAGGGGTTTCTTATTTTCTGACTAACATTTCAGTATTTTTAATTATGATAAACCATGTAACACAGACTCATGAATTTTGGGGCAGTGGAAATTATTTCCTTTGACTCTTTTTTCTGCATATCATCAATTTGCTTTTTACTCATGTTTCTTCTACTGTCGCTGTAAGCTTACTTGTTGTTTTTTCTTTCCTTTTCTTCATGCTGTCGTTTAGAGCCCTACAGAGAGACAAGTATGGGAGTAAAGCTAAACATTGCATATCAAATGTAATTTTTTTTAGTTCACTTTTATTGCATCACATATAGATGATGTAGTTATTAAAAACAGTTCATCTCACAATTTAAAAACTAAAGAGCCTATGAATCGACTTAAATAAATTTATGTTAATAGAGATTAGACGCTTTTGTTGTCTGATTCTTTTACTGTGTCACATGATCAACATAGTTTTTAAGTCTCATGTAATGTTTGTGTGAGTTAAATTGTTTTTAAATTAAGCATTTATTTTTGCTAAGTAATGCATAAACTTTTAATTTTTATTAGTACATTCCATCATACAAATGTATGTCCCATGCAGCATACCCACTTTATTTTACTATGGCTGTTTCCAACCTGTACCTAATGCATTGACAACAGAAATAATACACACGTTTCAATGCATCAGTCACTCAACCATAACCATCCAGCATACCATAGCGCCCTCCTCAGCAGCAATCACCCATCACATATGGCCCTTTAAAGAGCATTTACTTTTATTTTTCTTAACATTGTGGATTTGTCTACAAGATATCTTATAACATGAAAATAAATCGCTTCACCCTATGTCTGTGATGGCTGCTTTTTAATGAATATTTTATGCATTCCTGTTTTGGGGAACTGTTACTTGAGTACAGAGTATGCATCAGAAGTCCGTATAAAATAGAGTCCACACTTTATTTAAACCAGCCATGAACGAGTTCAGTTTTGATAAACATAACTGCATCACAGATATAGAATGAATGCTATATTTTCACAAGTTAGTAGTGTATTGAGAAGTTTAATAGAATTCTTCTATTAATTGTTCTGTAAAGAAATATCCTTTCTTATTTACGAGTATTGGTTAAATGTTTGTGTTTTATTTTCTTTCGTGGTTGCATTTGAACTGACTTTGGAACTATTATAGATTCTTGGATTTCTGTTTATTCAAGAGAATGCAAAAACCTTGAAGAAGCATGTGGTTAAATTTTATTTCACTGCAACTATTTCTTCCCAGAATAAAATGTTTAATCTCCTTTAAATTCAAAGTTTAGTATATGCACACAAAGTCATCATTCATTATGGCATGGGATCTTTAATACCAACACTATGTTTTTAGGAATCATATCCCTGTGTCTTTACACATTTTCTTGTAGTCTTACCTACTGACCCTAAACAATCACTAATGGGTTTATAGGTAGAAAAAAATTTAGAAAGTAAATCCAACTAGTTTTGTTTTGAAAGTTTCTATGTGCAAATTATTTTGATGTGCCACTTATCTGACTAAGCATTATTTCATGACTACATCATACTGACAAATTTAACATAATCCTTTTGTGGTTTTGTGTGTAGGAATTAATTTGAATCTCACAAAATTATATATCAAATTGTTAGAAAGTGCTTGATTCTTTTACTTTTGACAGTATATTCAAAGCACCACACATGAATTATGTTAATATTATACCTATTTTAATGTTAAGACATGTAAAATTAAAGATAATGAATTACTGAATTGACTTTGATGTGTATAAATTGAAAGCAACGAATGATTACACCAAAATTTTGTGTTTGTTTTTTTTTTCTAAGTTATAACCAGATATGCTTCAGATAATATCAGGCAATGTTTGTGTGGAAATTGCAAATTGATAGCTTTTTAAAAATTATTATTTTAAAGATTTATTTTAGATACCTATCCATTTCTAAGGTTTCTATCGATTGTCCAAGTGTATATATAATATGTACATATAGACTTAATAGTATTTTTTGTTTACTTCCAAACATTTTATTACTTATTTAAACATGCTAGCAATTTATACATACTTCATAGTCAAGTGTTTTTCTTTTGTGTTTGTGTGTGTGTGTTCTACGGCCAGTTGGATGTAAATGTCATAGTGTTCTGTAATCTTTTTCAGAGGGGCTTCTGAACAATGCCAGGGATACAAGTGTCATGGATACTCTACCACTGAATGGTAACCATGGCAATAGTTACAGCATTGCCAGTGGTGAGTACCTGAGCAACTGTGTGCAAATCATAGACCGTGGCTATAACCACAACGAGACCGCCCTAGAGAAAAAGATTCTGAAGGAACTCACTTCCAACTATATCCCATCTTACCTGAACAACCACGAGCGCTCCAGTGAACAGAACAGGAATCTGATGAACAAGCTGGTGAATAACCTTGGCAGCGGGAGTGAAGATGATGCCATTGTCCTGGATGACGCCACCTCCTTTAACCATGAGGAGAGTTTGGGCCTGGAACTCATTCATGAGGAATCTGATGCTCCTTTGCTTCCCCCAAGAGTTTACTCTGCAGAGAACCACCAGCCACACCATTACACCAGAAGGCGGCTCCCCCAAGACCACAGTGAGAGCTTTTTCCCTTTGCTAACCAACGAGCACACAGAAGATCTCCAGTCACCCCATAGGGACTCTCTGTACACCAGCATGCCGGCACTGGCTGGTGTGCCTGCCGCGGAGAGTGTTACCACCAGCACCCAGACCGAACCCCCACCGGCCAAATGTGGTGATGCCGAAGATGTTTACTACAAAAGCATGCCAAACCTAGGCTCCAGAAACCACGTCCATCAGCTGCACACCTACTACCAGCTAGGGCGTGGTAGCAGTGATGGATTTATAGTTCCTCCAAACAAAGATGGGACCCCTCCAGAGGGCAGTTCAAAAGGACCAGCTCATTTGGTCACTAGTCTATAGAAGATGACACAGAAATTGAAACCAACAAAACTGCTAACACCTGGTGGACTGTTCTGAGTTGATATAAGCAGTGGTAATAATGTGTGTACTCCTAAATCTTTATGCTGTTCTTGAAAGACAAACACAGACTTTCAGACTTTTTTTTTTTTTTTTTTAACTGGGATTTATAGGTCAGCCCAGGGGAGAAAGATAACTGCTGAAATTCCCCTGTGCCCTCTCCTTTCCTGTCTTTCCCCCTCAGATGGAGACTTCATTATGTTAATGAACGAGATATGAAGAAGATGGCGCTCATTGTGGCCTTGTTGAATTCTGTTGTGTTTGTTCTAACATCTCTGATGCTCTGTTACTATAATAACAAGGACCTGATTTTTAAAAGGCCAGAATGGTTGTTTGAAATTAGTAACAATGCTGCATCTAGATTGGAGTGCTGCACAAACATAAAAACAAAGGAAAACTGTATCACATAGTGGTTTTTAGTCACTCACAACCTGAATTCACCACAGCAGGAATAGCTGTGGAATACAAAATAAAACAACAAAATAATGAAATGGAGGGGAATTCTAGAATTATATGCTAAATGCATATTTTATGATTTGCTGTATTAACTGATGATAAAACTAATGTCAGAAAAAAATGAACAATTTCTATGTAATGTACAGATACTAGCATTGCACATATAGTCAGCTTTCTGTTCCTCCAGAATTTGAGTCCTGTTAATGTAGTGGAAAAAAAGAGATATTTTCTTTTTCTTTTGTGCTGGTCTTGCAAGTTTGTCTACCAGTAAGAGAGCAAAGTTTCCTTCCTTTCTTCTTTCTTTTCTTTCTTCCTTATTTTCTTTTCCTTTTGTTCTCTCTTTTTCTTTTCTTGTTTCTTTTTCTTTCTTTCTTTATTTCTCTTTCTTTTTTTATTGCTTTTTGCTTTTTTTTTTCCTTTAAAATTTCACCTGGCAAAAAAATAAATAAATAAATAAATGAAACTATCACTTTATAAGAATCATTTTCTAGTAATACAAACAAATTATTTTTTACAAAAAAAAATAAAATAAATAAAATTAGACTTCCTTCCCTCACTATATATCTTTATTCAGTCAGAGTATTTCCAAGAGCATTTTTGCAAATTAGAGCAGGACGAACTTTTCTGTTTACAGTGCACATTTGTTGTAATGCAAAGCATATTTGGCAAGCAGTTCATCACCAAGACAGTAGCTATGATTCTAGAAGTCAAGAGGTGTCAATAGAACTAGTGGGGCTTCTGCATGTGAAAAAAAAAAAAAAAACTAAAACAAAACAGTATCCCATAGGCGTTTAAGTGCTGAATGCTCAGTCCGATCCCCAAGTGGGCACCTGCACTATCAATTTTTAAAGGAAATTCACTCCCTTGTAGTAAGAATCAAAAGGTCAAGTTATTTTGAAGTGATTTTTTTAAAGCTCTTCTGTTTATTAACAGGAAGATTTATTTATTTGACAGGATTTTAAGTAATGTAGGAATACAAGAGGTAAATTAGCAGCACATATAATTTTTTTTTAAAATTTATGATCCATTTTGTATGGTCTCAAAGTTGGATGACCTCATTACTAATATTTGTTGTAAAAGTGAAACTTGTTTGCCAACCAATAAACAACTGATTGAGATTTAGAAGATACTGTTTTGCTGTATGTACTATATGATTAACTACTCTTTTCATTTTTCTCGTCTTTCCTTCTGTTTTCATTATATATACTTTGCTAATCCTCTATGGCCCAAATGAGCCATGAAAAGAAATCAAATCTGCCTAGATGAATAACCTAAGCACAAAATTATACCATTTTTTCAGACAAACCAGAAAAATGGGACGGGCATGTTTATGTTGGATGAAATAAGATGTATAAATTACTTTAAAGCAGGTTAATATATGTTACTATGTCAGCTGGAGTCACCATGCCTACCATAAAAACCAGCTTCAATCAGAGATTTAAGTACTGAATTAGAGGAGAGGGTGCATCATGTATTTTCCTTCCTTGTAAGTCCCACTTCAATGTTTGAAATTCAAAGCCACTCAATTGGCTAAAAAATGCCAGAATAACGGCAAAATGATTATCCATTTTATAAAGATAAGATATTTTTATGCTAATTTTTTTGTTCCATATATGGAAAAAAAGTCCTTTCAAAGAAACTTTCTAGATCTTCAGTAACTGAAGAACATTTTCCAGCAGTGTCTAAGCATGGAGTCCCTTCTAGAGCAAAGCCAGAATGAATTTGCCAAATCATAATTTCCTGGAGTATGTTTTGGTGATTTCTTTTTTTTTTTCTTTTTTTCCTCCAAATCTAAACAACACCCACGTATAAATTAATTTTTTAAATTAAGATGAGAAGAAGTAGTTTACAAAGTAGCCAGTAATCTATATACAGTTTAAAAATAAATGACAAAAAAACAAAATTCTGTGCTGGGCCAGAGTACATCATAACCTTGATATCACCTCAGAATATCTTATTCATCGTACTTTTTTGGTCACTTAACATAAGTATTTTTTAAGTCTCCAGATTTTTCCTAAGTTGCAGGAGAACCTCAAGCTTTAATGGTAATTAGGTTTTTTCAGACCACACTATTGGCAATATTAGCACCTGACAGGTGGTTAGCCTTTCTGTTGCATAGAATATGTTTGGTAATGAAAGAACCGTTTTTAGACAAGTTTAAGGTAACTTCAGAAACACAGAGGTCGGTCTGTGGATTATGAGCATTTATGCTTGTTTTGCAAGTTCGACAGAAATCTATGCGAAGGCAGCTCTGTCAGTAAGAAACTAGTTTCACAGAACAATGGGGACACTACCTCAACTCAGCTTGCTGATGCTGCCCGTTCTGATTTTCAGATATCGCTACCTCCCTGCCCATTATCTTTTATGTTTCATTACAGGGAAATTTGAAACAGGTAGCCTCCCCAGCTTTACATAGACCAAGCTGAAGAAAATCACTTGGATACACAAACTGGTGCAGAAGGCCATTGCGTACTGTCCGTTACTACCACACTCTTGCATCAAGATGAAAGGATGAGATTCTCGAATTTGAACGCATCATAATTGATGTGCTTTCAGAAAAACTTAAGATCCCAAAGACTTTTACAGAAAGAGATTGTTCCCCAAGTTTTATGTGACTATAACAAAATGGTAAAGGAACTAATTATGTATACATTTCAGAAGAAATGTGTGTATAATCTAACATGTATTCATTTAGTCCGTCTTACACTAGCAAGGGTTGAATTCCTGAACTTGACTTTTTCCCCCATGTATTCCCTTGTGTAGCTAATGATAAATTAATAATTTTAAAGTTTTTCTTGTTTTTTTAGCACCTTTGGTGGACTCTATTTTAATACCCTGTGCCATCCATGACCTCCTTATCTGAATATTTCTGATGTTTATCTGATTTTCTGTAAAGTCAATTTTCACCAAACAGACATCCTGTACATACATAGCACACTATTTCGATAGCTGCAAGTAAAAGTTATGCCAATGAAACAAACCAATAATTATTTCCTAGTAAAATAATGTTTTCATAATATTTTACTCTTGAACTTTTTTTTCTTTTCTTTTTGAGGTCTATTTCTTGTTACTTTATCAGGACACTAGCTAATAGACCTCATGTTTAGCTGATTCACAAACTGTTGGATTGTTGCACAGCCCATGTTCTTAATTGATGATATTTATAGAGAAATCTAAATTTTGTGAAGGAGAAATAGATTTGATTTCCCTTCGGTTTTTTTGAGTGTCCCTCTGGTTCCACTCTACTAAAGTCAAAAATACTAAAATACTAAAAAAATACTAAAAATACTAAAACTGAATAATAAATTGCTATGCTAAAATAATTACAATGACAAAAATAAATTTGTGTGATAACCATTACGTTGAAATGAAAATAATCAGGAAACTGTATTGATCAAGTGCAGATAATGGAAATACCCTTAACTTCCTGTCAAACAAATTTACAAAAGACTCTAAATTAAAAGTCTGGTTTATGATCTATATTTTTAAAATCCCCATTAACCTAAAAATGTCAACATATTGATAAAGGATTTTAAAATTAAGTGTTTTTTTTAATTTGTTTTAACTTAGTTGGTATGACGAAACTTTTCGTGGTAATGGAGATAAACATATAAGAGAATTAGTAATATTCATATAGAACCCATAGATGTAATTTTAGGCACTATCTCCAGCTTTTTCCCCCACACATGTTCAAATCGAGTGACTGGTTTGCTCACTTCAAAAAAAATGACATTAAAAACTTAAAAATTTACTTTCTGCATTATAGAGACCAAAAAAGGGAATGGAAAAATAATTTCTGCGTTGCGTGAAGGTCAACTCCAAACTAATCAGTAATCATCTCCTATTAGTGAAAGAATAATTTGTTTTTAGAAGCTGTTCATTGGTACTGTACCAAGGTGCTACTGCTTGAGAATTTTTTGGAAAAAAAATAAACAAAACAAAACACTATAGGACTACTGTGTCAATTCAGATTAGAGAGAAAGAGCTATACAAACTCAAACCCTAATTTGATTTTGAGCAATTCTAAAAATGGTGACATTAATGTCTTTTCTTCTCTAACAGAAGTACGTGAGATAAAATAACAGTATGTATGATCTTCCTAGTATACTGTAGTACCAACATATTAAGATTTAATTAGCTCATGTTTAGTAATTCATGATTATAACTTACTGCATAAATAATTACTATGCATTTCTAAAAATACTTTAAGTGTATCTTATGTTAGATTTCTGCACATTAATAAATTAGGAACATGGAAGCACAAGAATGAAGCAGCAACATTACAAATTAGCTTATGGAAGCATTTTGGTGCAAAAGAATTCTACGTGGAAACCTTCCTGGAGATCATAAAATAGATTTGATGTGAATCCCTACCATAAATTCAGTTTTGGAATTAGCAAATACATCCTTTTTAAACCACCTGAAAAATATTGATAAATATCTAAATTTTCATTTCTCCCATCCAAGTACTATCCAGGCCCGACCCTGCTTAGCTTCCGAGATCAGACGAGATCGGTAAATTTTCATTTCTAATTAAAAAGTGATGGTAGCTGCTTCTTTCCTGCTTAGGCCATCAGAAGAATCTCCGATTTGCTAATTAACCTCATTACTTCTACTTACCCTTTGCTTCA